CGTTCTGGATGGAACGGAAATAAAATATGTAAGATGGATGCAAACATGGCCAAAACTCATGAGAAGTGATAAACGGAAACATTTGGAAAAGTCGATTTTGGATCAAATCTAATATGAGGCGATAATTGCAGAATTCCAATTCTCAGAGAATTACCAAATGATCGAGGCAATTTGTGACAGGAACGCAAAGTTGCAAACTCAGAATAGCAAGGAAACAACAGAAAAAATTGAAATGAATTCACAAAACTTAATGACAGTTTCGATTGAGTTATTTGCGGAGTGAAAAATTACTGCTGCGAATAAAATTTTCAGAGTGAATGAAAATTTCTAAAGTATTCAACATGCAATGTGAATGAAAAATGGTGCGCGATGGTGTTCTCGAGACAGATATAGAGACAACAACTGTTATATGTGTCACAAACTGCACTGTCACGGTGAGACATGTTACGGATTCTAGTATACCTTTGGTTGCGTCGCCGTTTACTCTGATTATTCTGCGTCCTGAATTGGTTGAATTTTGTTTTCACTTTTTTTTTGAAGAGTTCAAGATGAGACCGTTTCTCGGTTGCAGTCAATTCTTTTATATAGTTACTTATTCTGAGGAGGGGCTAATGTCCCGATTTTTTGATGGCCGGTTAAATGAAAAATATATTTTCAGATCTGTGGAAATTTTCAGACACATGACAATGTTATTCAAAGAATATGATGACTTGGACGTATTGCATTCGTTCCAAAATAAGAACTGGTGCATGTTCATTGGCACTTTATGAGAGAAGTTGATAGCTCGGGAAATGTGACTCCGTTCAGAGGGTCTCGGAGCCAATGTTTCGTGGAATTTATGAATTTGTACCTAGTCTCTAGAATCTATGGTTTAAATAATGAGGTTTCTATCACTGAAACTAGATCTTACGCAATGAATTTTCTAATAACATAAATATCAATTTAAGCTCTACACATTCACTTGCAAGAAATGATAACAGCTGGCGATGAACACTTTATGTATTATAAAATTGCTTCAAACAACAACAATTTGCACAAGATTATTAATTCTGAGTGGAAATTATGTTTTACTAACAGCACATTTGCTGGTTCTCAAACATGTGTGTTAACCTGTTCGCTCCGTCCAGAGTTGTGCTTGGTACTTTGAAAACACTCAGAACAACTCAAAATATTTGAAATTTTTAGAGCACTGCCAATTTAAGAAACTTTAATCAGAGAAGTTGACGTTACCTTTGAGCTGGGCGAAATCGAGCGACTGAATTGCGTACTGTAAATGCTTCGTGTCAAGATTCAACACGAATTCAGCATCTGCTTCGGGTTTCGTTTGCATCTCCTTATGCCACATAAACTCTTGCGTTGTCGTGCGATTAATAAACGCGCTACTTACCTGCAAAGATACTTTCATATGAAACATAATACATTACTGTGAATACCAACTTGATTTAAAGCAGATTTCTGCGTTCAGTCAAAGAGATACGAACAACATCATTGAAAACTCCAGATTTCCACAGCTGCAATTCAGGAGATCATCAAGCGAGAATTGCCGAAATACTGACTTGTAAGTATGTTGCTGGATCGGGCTCCTTCAGGATTTCGATGCAGAATTGTATCAATGCAGTGGTTTTCGACAGCTTTCCAGTGCATCGAGAAATTTGATCTTTGAAGATGCGTTTCTGAAAGATAAATTTCCATACAATTTTCCAACAACAACAACTTTTCGCCATATGTCAAAATACATGTTTGCAATCATTTCAAAAGCATTATTTGATGAGTAATAAGCGATGAAAAAATATATAAGAGTCGTTTTCATACATTTGGATTCAAAGAAACGAAAGCGTGCAATATAACATTCCCCAAAAAACGTTACATTCAAGACCTTCGAGAAGC